ATATATATATATATATATATATATATATATATATATATATAGTCTCACCTCAGTACCTTAATCCAGCTTTAGATATCTAAAGCTGGATTAAGGTGACAGTACTGAGACTAATTCATTAATAAATTTGCAGCTTTATTCAATAAAATTGAGTCAGAAAATTTTACAATTTGGTATTGCTTAAATCTTATGAAGGAGCATGAAGGATCATGATCCCGGATTTCCGAAAAGGTAATCCACATCTGGATATCTAATCATATTGCGTATGCGGCTACCTTTTTTTTATGTTGCTTACATTTACCGCACCCTGTTTCCAGGTCATAATCATGGAATTTTTGCCATTTTCAGGAATTGCTGATATTGTGGCGAAGTGGCAGCACCGTTTGTATGAGGAAAAAACAAATGCCTGATTCAAAATAAACTACTTCCTCAAACTCTGAATTGTGTAACCTGTTTTGGAAGCATTTAGGAAAATTAAATATCTACGATTAACACTAGACATCTGAGAAGTTGCGCAAACTTTCTCGCTTATTCGTTCACATAGTGCTCAATAAATTATCCATCTTCCTCTTTCCCCTTGTGAATGTCTAGTTTTGATGACCCCGTTATTCCTAGAACTCAGGAATCAGAAATATCGCAGGTTGGTTAGTTCACTAGTGACAATTGATATTAGAAAATAGCGAATCATTTCTTCTTACTGGATACAGGTGTACTTTCCATGATCACTTACCAAGCAGTACACCATTTATGTAAGTGAATTAGGATTCTCGAATTTTACAACTCGCTGATGGTAAAAGTACTTTTTCCTTATTCTAATAAGTTTGATGAGTTCAAGTTTTGTGGGATACCAAGTTATAGGAGATATGCTTCAGGGAAATTTTGGAAGTTTAACTGCCTTCCTGCTTTTACAGTTATTGTTATGGCAATAGGTTGGGACAAATTAGGGTTAAGTTGTTTGCTAGCCAAAAATGAATTTACCCAGTAGGACGAAGTTGTAATAATGACTGTATAGGTCAAGATCAGAGAGAAAGGGCGGAAATACGATCTTCACGTTGCGATGTGCAAAAAAAAAAAACTTTTTTGACTGATATCTGAAGCCGAAAGCAATAGTAAAGAATTTTGCAAGCATCAAAGACGCCAAAAAAATATGCACATTATTGTTATTTATAGTGATCGATGGCCTTCAACACGGAAATTATTTTTTCGCGAAAATTTATATAAAAGTCAGCAAGTAAATGCTGTAGCTTTTCCGGACATCCTATATCTTTTTATTTCCATCAATATGCACCTCAAACTTGGGCAACAGGAAGGAAAAGAGTACCAACAAGTCAATGCCAGTCTGTTGTCTCCGTTGATCTCTACTCATTTAAGAACTGTTTCTTTTTTTTAAAGAATTATCGACTCGTACTACATGGAACAATTCTTAATTGAAAACAAGAAAACTAATAAATTGTAATTTAGACATACAGAAGTTCGAACAAAATAGTAAAAAATCTGTTTCGGTATAGCAAATAAACAAGCCAACGAAATCGTAAACTGAACCATAAAAATGAGAAATTGAATTTATGAACATACGATGTGCGCTATGCCTATCCAAGAAAATAATCACGTTAGAATCTATTGACGATCACTGACAAACACTTCATTTTATATAATTAATTCAACTATCTTTGTTTAATTAATCATCATTCTTTAAGGATGTAGTGAAGATTAATTTTTTTTTTTGAAAAATCTTTGTGATTTCTTCCAAGGATGGTGATTAATTATATAAAAGACACCAAATTGAAATCCGATAAGCTACCACTGAGCCTTTATTGCCTTCTTATGTAACAGTATACTTTAGAGAACTTGAGCACTTTTAAAACTCATTAAGAGGTCGTACCGCAGATTCCGTTCTGTTGAAAAAAAATGACGGAGAGGGCATGTATTAATGCTTGAAAAACAGCATGACGAGTATTTTTCACACCTCAAAAAATGACAACATATATTTGCATTAAGTTTCCAGTATTTTTGAGAATTTTTCCTTAATTTTAGAGAATGTATCACTTCAACGGTTATCGCACGACGAAGAAAGCCTCGTTCAGAAAATGTCTGCGTGAAATCTTTCAGTCAATCCGATCAAAAGTCATAAGAGAAATTTATTTTATGCTAACAAATTTTGCATTTGAAAAAATAGGAGCAAGCTTTAAAAAGAAGCACATGTTAGAGAAGTCGGAGATACTGTTGTTAATAGTATCAGCAATAAACAAATCAATTGCAAATCAACTTGCCACCATTTTGGAAAGCAGTTTTTTCATTTTTAATTTGCATAATTTTGTTGCCTCAAAAATGATTTTATTAAAGACTGTTAACACCAAGAAACAACCATTATTTGTTTGCTAAAAGAGTGGCTACATATTAACCGGATATCTTGACAATTTAAGGAAACTTTCCATTGAATTTTTTGTTATCGCCTTCAGAACTGAGTCATATCTCAATTAAAGCTTTCTCACATTAAGACGCAGAAACTAAACTTCAACATTTGACATGGCTTATGTATTCGCCTTGTCCTTTGCATCACTACCGTTCTATCTTAGCACCACTACACTGTAAGTGGCCAACTAGGCTGCCTAGTAATAAAAGCTCAAGCGTTCATCATATAAGGATAATGCTAGAGCTTCTGAAAAAGTGGCTACTATCGGCCTAAAAGTGAAATAGAATACATCATCTTTTCTCAAAAGTATCCAGAAATAATTAGCTTTCGGATTAACCAATGGAAATGGTTATCTGATTGCAAAATCC